AATTGGGTTGCTATCCTCGCATTCGTTGGTTTTCAATAGCAGGACTGGGGACTCGCTTGACTGGCTCACTGCAGCCCGGAAGGCTTCAGACTCGGATGTAGGGCTTTAGGTCCCAGTACAGAGCTCATCCGATGGGCCCGGGCAGGCCCAGCCGCGGGTGACGGCGCCGGCGAGGGCGGCAGGGTACGTCAGCTAGTGACTGCAATTGCGTAGTAGTTTAGCTCGAAGCCATGAAGGTTTCAGGATTGAGGAAATTCCGCAACGTTTGTCACATGTCAGAAAGTGGAGGGGTTCCGGTTGGTTTGTGACGGGTGTTGGCATGAACCAGCAGGCTGAGAGATTGAAACCAATGACCCAAAATCGCCCTTCAACTGACATGGCTCACTCACACGGACGTGGAATTGCTTTTACACCCAAGCAACAAGGACGTGAAGTCTGTGAGTTTACATCTACAGGTAAAGCACTGTGCATGCTCAAACTGTGCTTTGGGGCTTGCGGGCGAAAGGAAACAAGTCGGCAACCTATCCTGACGGGCCTGCAACAGCAGCGCATTCAACAAAATCCTTCCCAAGCACTCGGACAAAGTGAGGACGCCTCAGCAGCTAGAAGTGCTGGCTCTTGGAGACAGTTACTTTTTCTGGGCCGAGGTCAGGTGGGACGGGCGTTGGTGTCTGGCATTTCTCTTTGGGGGTTGCTGTTACGCATGTGTGTATATGATATATGAGAGGCATCATGAACTGCGTTTGACAAATGCGGTGTTGGATTCCATGAAACAAATGTCATTTGTTGTTTGCACATTGCGACAAGACAAAGAATTTTTAGGTCGAGAGCAAGCGAAATGGTTGTAAACTCCCAAATCCGACCAAGCCGTGCCAGCACCGGCCCGCGGCCAGCGAGTCCGCGCCTCCGGCGCTAAGCTGAGTTTGCCATCGCGTGGCCTGCCGGCGCCCGCCAGAACCCCAAAACCCCCCCCCCCCCCCCCCACATGGTTTCGGGTTTCAGGGGATGCACCCTCAGGTGTTTCTTCGAATGGCTGGAGAGCTGACATCCAGAGTTTAGTGCTACGGGTTTCACCGTCGAAGCGGGCTTCCCACGTGCGGGTCTCGGGCTTGCGGGTTTAAGGTTGAGGGTTTATGTGTTGTATCCTACGCGTGACAGGGTTTAGGCTTTTGGGCTTGTGGTTGAAGCCTGATCTCCAAAGCCCACAGCTCCCAAAGCCTAGTGTTGCCTGCTGATTAGTGTGCTCCCCCCACCTTCCCCCCCCCCTCAACAAATGGACCCCGCTCTTTAGTGTGGGGGAGGGGGGGCAGTCTGGCTTTATATGAGTTCAAAAGGGATGAGTTTATATGAATTTCAAAGGGGTCCATATGATCATAAACGGGTGAGACTGTGTGTGAATTTGATATTATTTTAAACGGGATGAGCTTGTATGAATTTCAAAGGGCTCCATCTGATTTTGAAAGGGGTGAGACTGTGTGACATTAAAAGAGATCCATACGATTTCAAGAGAGATGAGTATATATGAAATTGAAAGGCTTCATATGATGTTAAAAGGCATCCACGTGATTTTAAAAGGGATGAGTTTACATAAATTAAAGGGGGTCCATCTATCCCAACCAGGCCAGCCCGCAAAAACAGCATATATGTCTGGGGGACCAAACATGTTTATATTATACGGCATTCGGGCAGCTGTTGGACTACACCCCCTTGAAATTTGATAGCCTGGCCTCGGTACAAAAGCATTTTATACGGAAATCGTAGCTTTGGGGCTGGCCTGGAGGCTTCAGACTTCAGGGCCCGACAACCTCAGGCCTGAAGGTTTAGGAAGCCTCAGCCCTTAGGCCTCTGGATCCAAACCCAACGAGCCCGCAAAAAATGTATTTCCGGGGGACCACACGTTTTATATTATACGGCATTCGAGCAGCTGCTGGACTACCCCCCTTTGAAATTTGATTGCCTGGCCTCGGTACAAAGCGTCTTATAAGGAAATCTTAGCTTGGGGCTGGCCTGGAGACTGAAGGTCGGCCCCACACCCAGCCAAACCCTAAACCCAAAACCCCAAACCCTAAACCCCCCTCCTGGGCTTCTCTGGCCCTGGCAGATGTCTGCAGAATGCCTCGAAGACCATAAAACCCAGCCCCTACGTTTTTGGGTTAGCGTTTCTGTTTAGGGTTTAGGGTTTAGGGTTTAGGGTTTAGGGTTTAGGGTGTAGGGTTTAGGGTTTAGGGTTTAGGGTTTAGAGTTTTAGGTTGGGATGTGAGATCCAGGGCTGGGGTTTCGGTACAATACCACCCAAGATCTAGCAATGATCACCACAGCTACATTGGTTGTCGCAGCCAGCTGGGATTCAAGTCCTGACTCCTCCACCACACATTCCTTCTTCGTTGTCCTCATGGCGGCTGTCGACAGGCTGGTGTGCCTTTTTTTCTTCGCATGCCCCTTGGGGTTTGGGGGCTTCTTGTGCTGTTTGGGTTTTATCTGAAAGACAAAAGTTGATTCTCAATTCACATGTAGAGTCCCCCGAAGCCCCGCCAGTCGGGATGCTACTGCAGAGGGAAAGCCAAACACCAAGCAAAGAAGACTCGGGCGCCAACAAGAAGGCAGCCCTTTCACATCTAAAGTCTATGCCCTTCCCCCCTCCCCCACCCTGCCCCCTTGGCGCTTCCCCTGCGAGAAGCCGAACCCTAAACCGATTCCGACTGCTAAACCTACTGACCCCTAGCCGCCATAAGTGGTTCAGTGGTTCACCTCAACATCCTACGCCCCCAGAATAGCTCACAGCTTTCCAAATTTCGGGTTTTGTGTTTGTAGGGTTACCCTAAACCCTAAACCCTAAACCCTAAACCCTAAACCCTAAACCCTAACCCCTAAAAACCCTAAAACCCTAAACTTGGGGTTTCGGTTCGACCAGCCACACAACTCTCTGTTTGGGTGAGGACCAGGGGTGGCGCTCTCGAGCAGCAGGCGGGCAGAGGGTTTAGTCCTTGTTGTAGGAAACCGAGTTCCCTAAGCCCTAAACCCTAAACCCTAAACCCTAAACCCTAAACCCTGAACCCTGAACCCTGAACCCTGAACCCTGAACCCTGAACCCTGAACCCTGAACCCTGAACCCTGAACTCTGAACCCTGAACCCTGAACCCTGAACCCTAAACCCTAAACCCTAAACCCTAAAACCTAGCCTAAACCCTAACCGCCAAACCCTAAGCCCTAAACCCATAAAAACGGTGCAGAGAGGGCTCCCTCGTGAAAAGCTCAAAAACTCATAAGGCGTCCAGTTGTAAGGTTTAGGGTTTAGGGTTTAGGGTTTAGGGCTTAGGATGTAGGAGTTGGGATTTAGGGTTTAGGGCTTGGGGCTTAGGGCTTAGGGTTCAGGGTTAACCCCACCCCCATATTATCGTCCCAAAGGAGAAGCTGAACAATTGAGTCCCTGTCCATAAACCGATGCTGGATATTCCTAGGTGAGGGCTGAGGTGGGGACTGAGGTTGAGGGCCCAGGGTTTTTTTCGCGAGCAGTACGCGATTTCTGGTTGATTTCATCTAAGGGTTCCTCCACCCAATAAATCAAACCCCAAAACCAAAACCCTAAACTTCTGAGCCCGTTCCGGCTTGCGCATTGGCACCTTCCAAATGGAGGGGCTGCGTGAAGACGGGATGGCATCGGTGGTACGTTGAGGGCGCAGGGCTGAGGTTAGGGCCTTTCAGGGTTTAACTCAAGAACCCAAAACACAACTTTTTTTGTAGAGATGCCCAAGAACCCTAGTTACAAGAGGATTTACACCATGAACCTACCAAAAAGGGTAGGTTTTGGGGGTTAAGGTAGGGCTAGTTAGGGTTAGGCTTTAGGGCTTAGGTTAGGGCATAGGGCTTAGGGCTTAGGTCTCAAGGCTCAGGGCTTAGGGCTTAAGGTTTAGGGTTTAGGGTTTAGATTTAGGGTTTAGGGTTTAGGGTTTGTGGTTTAGGCGTGTAACGTGTTTTTGGGGCGCTCCTTGGGCGCGCCCATTATGGGACGTCACCTTTGAGACTTCAACGTAGCCGTAACTGTTTCGCGCCACGTCTTTCAGGTACTTTCGGGGGAGCAATTGTTTTGATGTCAGTTGATTTCGGGTTTGCTCCGGGATAGATGTCGACCTCCTCGCGGACGAGCCGGAATAGCGCACTGAGCCTTGGGATAGATGGAGGGGCCTGGATAGAATTTCGTGTGCTGTTGCTGTCTGGGCTTACAGGGCAACAAGACAGCAACATAAGCACACTGTACATTCATTCTCCTTTCTCTTTTGTTTGTTTCTTGACTTCGTCCGTGTAGCTGCGCCCCACTTGTACAGTTTTGCCCCCGTGGATAGTGTCCCTGTACGTGGTGGATCCGCTTAGCCAACTCGCAGCCGGAGGCCAGAGGAGCTAAAACGATCGGGCGTCGACGAGGGATAGATCCTCTTCCCTAACCCTTGGGATAGTTATCTGTTCTCTTTACAACTCATAGCCGGAGGCCGGAGGATACTGAGGATAGGTGGCTGTCCAGGTGAATATTGGGATAGGTGTACAACACGCAGCCGGACGGCTAGTGGATACATCTTGAACGATAGGTTACCACCCCCTGGAGATAGCAACTTTGGGGATCCTTCCGATAGTTAACGTCGGGAGTGGCTTGGAATACTTGGCTAGCTACCTCGTGTTCCCCGTTGACAGGGATACTGTTACTTCTGGAGCAACTTAACACCTCACAACTGTAAATAACCAACTTCCTTGTCTACTTGGGTCTGATCAACCGGAATAGTGGACACAGTTTTTCAGTTCTTCGACGCGCAAGTTTTCCTTGATTTGGACACTTCGCACAGGTTAAGAGCCTTGTAGTTTCTGTACCGACTGAGCCGAAGGCGAGGCGAGGATAGTTCAACGTCATGACGGACATGTGGAACGACGAGCGGGCACGAGAGGGATATATGGATTTGGGTCGGGATAGACATGTGGGGAGTGGACGCACCCCCGCAGGAATAGGGAACGGAATGTACGATGGGTGCGCTGGAGATGGAGATGGACTTGGGAAGAATGCGAGCGGGGACGACAAAGCGTTTGACTTGTCAGGCATTGGGGATAGTCAGGAACGAGGAGGACCATGGGATCTGAGCCTTTCAGATGGAACGACTCCTAGGGCGGATGATGGGATATCAGGGCCTTCGAGTGTTTTTGGCGGGGTTGTCGAGGAAGATATGTTAGCCGGAGACGGCTGCCTGGAGGAATCGCATCATGGACGGAGCGACTTGGGATATGCTCGGAGATCGGATGATGTTGGGATAGCAAACAATGGAGTTGATAGATGGGATCCTTTTGGTCCTGATGGAGACGGCGGAGATCGGGATACTCTTGGGATAGGTGCGCGAGTTCATGGGGATAGTTGCGCCGATCGATGGGTGAAGGATCCTCAAGGTCTTCATGGACACGATGCGCGAGTTCATGGGGATATTCGTAGAAGTGATGCGGCGGCGGAGCTGGGAGATATGCGAGATGAACGCGTTGAAAGGATCATGAGGGTGGGGATAGACTCGGAACAACATGGCCCAAAAATCCCTGGAGAGCCCAGAGAGGTCTCGGGACGACCTGGCTCAAACTTCCCTCAAGAGTCCAGAGAGGTCTCGGGACGACCTGGGTCTCGGGACGACATGGCCCAAAAATCACTGGAGAGCTCAGAGAGGTCTCGGGACGACTTGACGGGCCGAAGAAGAAGGAGCAGACCATCGCTAATGTGGACGAGTGGGGCAATGATCGAAGTGGTGGCGATGGGATAGGGCTGGGGAGTATGGGTGGCGCAAAGGGGATAGAGCTCGGAGCGAGGAACGCAGGATTGAGCATTGGGTGGAATAGCATCGACCACAGCAGTGACGTGATGTTGGCATTTCTTGAGGGTCGAAGAGTGGAACAACGCCAGGGGACAGGGAATAGGACGAAACATTCGGCCGGTCCAGAAGGTGGTGCAGTCGACGTTGGGATAGTGTTGGATAGACTGAATGGGAACGCGCCGCTAAATGGGAGAATAGGAGACATCAGCCAAGGATCTTCGGACATAGCAAGGTCACCAAAGATTGATGCTGGGACGAGGGCCAAGAAGATGGAATATACGATAAGTACCCCTCCCCCGCAACCCCCGAACGGGATATCACATGATGCCGCCGCAAGGGGAAATGGAATATCGGAATATGAAGGGTGTGAGGGCAGAGTTGATGCGATAGAAGGAGTGACTATAGACATCAGGAACGCGACCACGGAGATGAATGGCGAGATACGGGATGGGCTCAGGAGGATCCACGATAGACTGGATGAGGTTGAAGAGAAGTCCATAACCCAACGTGCCGAGATGATTGATGTCGAACGCAATGTGCAACGGCAATTGAATGATAGCATTCGGGATCTACGGAGCTGGATTAGAGAGGAGTTGACAAAGGCTGTGGAACCATTGGGCCGCGAGCGCGGAGAGGCGAGCGAAAGCGCCAATCATGTTGAGCGGGACGAGTTTAAAGAGATAGCGAAAAGCGTTGACAGGATGAGTTCTCGTGTGAGGTTTGTCGCCGTCGAACTCAAGCAAATGAAAGGGACGATGGATGTATCGATGTCGAAGAACATCGCGGAGCCTCTGCAACAGATTCGTGAGAGTATCAATGGGATGACGAGTGATATAGGCACCGTGAAGGGGAGAGTTGATGCCACGGAAAAGCTGATTGAGAAGATGGGCAAGGAATATGCGGAAATCATGGACGAGAACAAGCAGCTGAGGGATAGATTACGCGTGGTAGAATACAGTAGTCGGGACCGCGGGAATATCGCGAGGAGCACGGATAGAACTGACAACAGTTGCGCTGACGATGGGGCGCGGAGCGCATGTGTCAGGATCGCTGGGAGGATTGATGGAATAGAGGCAAATGTCGCGGAGATGGCCAAGATGCTTCGGCGTGTGCGGGATCAGCAGGCGAAGGACGCAAAAACATTCGTTGCATCCGTGAGGATCAAAGAGTTGGAAGTCATGGTTCAGGAGATGCGTGAATCGATAGCGAAGATGCAAAACGAGAATGCGGCGGACAAGGGCGAATGGAGGGAGTATAAAACCCAAACGCAGAGAAGAATCGAACAGCTCGAGAACGAGAACGCGCGGCTCAGGACCATGCAGGAGACGCAGGAGGGTCTCATCACGGAGCTCACTGAACGGATAGATGCGGCAACAAAACGGAACAACATCGAGGCGGAGATGAGCGCAATGCGGTTTTGAGTAGCTGAAGTGGAAAAGACGTGCGAAGAGCAGCGTAGAATGCGTCAGGCACTACAGTGTGGAGACGGTCATGGTGGCGTTGATCCTGAGTTGAGGCGACGGGAGTATCTAGGGATAGTATACCAGTGCTTTGATATGATCCTTCCTGAGGAGCCCAATCCGGCGAATCTACACACGTGGCTTGGGGAAGTGGCCCGGGCGGTGAAAAGCGCGTACATTTACGACGGGGAGTACGGATACTCCACGATTCTGCATGTTAGGGATATGAGTGAAAGCGAATTGGATAGACCATTGAAGTATGCGGCTTTGGAAAACAAGCTATGGGAAGGGCTGCGGAATATGATCAAATCAACGAGTCTGGCCAGTAAAGTGCAGGGGGAGATGTTCAAGCGAACGGTTGGGCGAGAAACAATGTCGGCTATGAGGCTACTAAGCATGGTGGTGAGATTTTACAGCGTTTCTCCCAATAGGGAGCAGGAGGTGTTGAACGAGGCCTTGTCTCGTACTGCGTGTGAGAAATACTCAGGTCAATGCGAGGTGGAGAGTCTGGACGTTTTCATGGACAAATGGGATAGTGTGCGCGTGCGGGTTGAAGCGACGGGGCGAGGCACATGGTCCGATGAGCAACTGGGGGATATCCTGCATAGTAAGGTGCGGCGCCTTTCGTTCTTGAACCATGACATCGAGGCCTGGAGGAAGAGACCGGCAGAGGGTAAAACACACTCTTGGTTATATGATAGAATCAAGAAAAGAATAGAGGAGTGGAGGGCGGACCAAAACTACCAGTACATGGAAGATTGGGCACAGCATCTCTCTGCCAGGGGCGGGCCGCAACCCTGAGGCTACCCGGGAATATGCCGTGTCCGCTAGGAACATAGACTACACAGATGTCAGAGAACACTGCGCCGCGATCAGGGATAGGGAACGTTTTTACCCTAATCCAGAGGGCGACCTCATTGCAGCGCTCGTCCCGCCCAGAGATCAGCAAACAATTGATTCCACTGAGGACTTCGTCACGCAGCTCGCCCAACTCGAACGGGGGGTGTCTTGGGATAGGGATTCGAGCAGGGCTTCGCTGAGGAGTACGTCCAATGTTGCGGGGGGGTATCCCAAAACTCGGGATAGGGGTTCGAGCGGGATTTCGAGGAGGATTATATCCCATGCTGCGGATGAGTGTCGCAAAACTCCGAACCACAAGAGGGGTTATAACCATGACGACAACTATCAGATCCCAGTCTCTGGAGACCAGTGAACAACGAGAGAGAAATCGTCGACGGAATGAAGGCGCGAGCTGGATCAAGATTCAGGCCCAGAATGTTCCGGGGAATGCAGGCGGACGTGGCGAACGGCGCATTGATGTTTGAGAACGGGGAGACGCGGAAGCCCGGTCAGTACGCTTGGTGGTGGCTTGAAGCTCGCACGGGAATAGGATGATTACAGACAAGGGATGCAACTGAGGCGTCGGGAACCTTCGACGTCTCTGGGATGCCGGTGGATAGTTTCGGAATACATCTGGATGGCCGGAATAGTCAATTTACAGGCCTGGGACACATCTGGGAGAAGCCTAGACACTTCTGCGATAAGCCTGGATCGCCCGAAGATATGACCGGACGGACTCGAGGTACTCTGAGTCGTTTTGGCGATCGGACGGGATAGAGTGAAAGTGAAGCCTGAGCGGACGGGATAGATTCAGGTCTTGCTTATTGGGGGGTTAGCTCGATAGAGTGGAAGCGAAGCATGAGCGAACGGGATAGATTCAGGTCCTGCTTATTGGGGGGTTTGCCCGGGACACGGGGGGGAGATACATAGGATTCGAACAGATGAGATGCTCATGATGAAGATGATGACGCGTGTGTGGCAGTGGCGTGGAATGAGCGGTCTGGCGAATGCCCTACGAGCCTAATGTTTGCTTTGATTATCAGGGAGGTTGGCCCCGGACGCGGTTCTGCACATTGACACATCGGCAGGCACATTGTGATGTACACGTGCTCGGGTGGCCAAGGGAGATGGGGGCTTGGATAGTGAATGGCATATCGAAACGAGCGGACGGATGACAAGGACAAGATGGCGAAGATAGAAGAGTGGCGATATCATCAAGTCTTGCTTGCAGGGGGATAGTGCGGGCTCCTCATGTACGATTTGTGGCGGAATTTGCATGTCGGGAGTATATGTGCAAGGAAAATGTGTGATTGCCATAGAGTCAAGATTTGGGAGCAAGGGAAATCCATCGAGTCAGGATGTGGCAGCAAGGGAAATCCATCGAGTCAGGATGTGGCAGCAAGGGAAATCCATCGAGTCAGGATTTGGGAGCAAGGGATATCCATCGAGTCAAAGTTTGGCAGCAGGGATTGCCGTCGAGTCAAGGTTTGGGAGCAAGGAGAGTTCCATCGAGTCAAGCGTGTGCAGCAGGGATAGCCAGATTGATTCTGGGATATTTTGGATTTGCCACGCAGGCGTCAGGGAATAGAATAGCCAAGGCGGGAATACACCTATGACATTCCATCGCTTTCACGCAGGAGCTGTTGGAGGGCGGATACGGCGTCGCAAAGGGGAGGGATAGTGGTGATAGCCATCGTCGACTTGATGACTGTGCGCCGGGGCTATATCAGTTGGAGTGTCATAGCGGGCCGCTGCCTGCCCAACACGAAGCAGCCGGAACATCAACAGCTACCAGGAAAAGTCATCGAGTTGCAGAAAGGCACGCGGGGGGCTTTGCTACCCGACGCTTCTCATGGATCTGAAGGGAATACGGAGCGGAGATCTTCGCTGGCCGGATCCTGCAAGCAAGCAGGGAGCGCAGGGCGGAGGGCTTCTCTGCCTGCAGGGAATACGGAGTGGAGATCTTCGCTGGCCGGATCCTGCAAGCACGCAGGGAGTGCAGGGTGGAGGGCTTCTCTGTCTGCAGGGATACGAACTGGAGATATTTGCTGCCCGGATCCTTCAAGCAGGAACTGCAGAGTGGAGGGCCTGTGATACCTGCAGGGAATACAGAGTGGAGATCTTTGCTGCTCAAACCTTCCCGAAGGAATAGAAGTACCAGCGCTTCACGTCCATTACTTCACTGTTTTGGTCCCGAAGGGATACAGATAGCGGAGCTTCACGTCCCTTACTTCACTGTTTTGGTCCCGAAGGGACACAGATAGCGGAGCTTCACGTCCCTTACTTCACTGTTTTGGTCCCGAAGGGATACAGATAGCGGAGCTTCACGTCCCTTACTTCACTGTTTTGGGTCCCGAAGGGATACAGATAGCGGAGCTTCACGTCCCTTACTTCACTGTTTTGGTCCCGAAGGGATACAGATCGGAGCTTCACGTCCCTTACTTCACTGTTTTGGTCCCGAAGGGATACAGATAGCGGAGCTTCACGTCCCTTACTTCACTGTTTCGACCCCGAGGGATACAGGCATCGGAGCTTCGCGTCCTCTACTTCACTGTTCTGGCCCGGGATGGGATACAAGGCGTACTAAATACACACCGTTGCCGGTCTTGACGTTTGGCGCCCAGCAGTCGGACCTCGTCTCAGAAAGGCAAAGGGAGTATGGTGCATGGTGAGCTTCGCGGACGGCAACCTCAAGGGGATATTTCGCAGCGTTGTGAGCATGAGGAACACGTATAGGGGATAGGCCCGACTCTTCCGGAATAGGGATAGGACTACGACGTATTGTTAATCTTGTACATCTTAATGCAGTACGCCTGGGATAGAAAGGACATAGGTGTGGTTTTGTTGGTCGACATCCGGGGGGCGGAGGGATATGTGTGACGTTGTGTATGTCCACGCGGTGCCCACAAGCCGGGGGGAGCTTTCTATGAGTTTGAGTTAGTCTACGGATAGTTCGATCGTATAGAAACGGGATAGTTACGATATCTAGGAAAATGTATGCGTCAACGCAAAGACCACCGGCACAGGGGGGAAAGGACAACTATGACATTGTCTATGTCACCACGGTATCTGCGAGCCGGGGGGAGTGGATAGAAATGCGTAGTACTACATGGAGATTACGACACGAGTGAAGGGATTACACGTCGAGGCTGAATACGGTGCGCGGGGGGGAGTACATGTTACTATGCATGTGAACCGGAAGCTGGCAAAGGAAAATGCTGACGAACATCTACGTGACGACCGGTGGCCGGGGGGATAGAGGGAAGGATTAGCCGTGAGCCTGCCTGCCAATGCATGATGATCAACGTTCCGGACGGGAGGCTGTTCGATGTCTACGAACATAACAACGCAGTGTATGGCAAATCTGCAGAATGCGGAGACAATGTTGCTGCGAGACGGAGCGTGCACGGCAGCGGAGGCATGGCTGATCACCAATAAGTCCTCGCGGCCAGAGCGGCGACTATCAGTGGGAGTAGGTGCCCGCCGTTGCGACGCAGTTGGACGAGAGAAACCACGACGAGAAGAAGGAAGACGTCTGCCACCATGAACGGCGTCACGTCTGCTAATGTGCGTGGGATGGCTCCTCACGTCGTTGGACGAGGTGGCGTGGCAAGGGATAGATCTGCAGGGCGCATGCAAAGTCATGCCCCTAGCGCATGGAGTGATGCAGCGGTTAGGATTGCCATGGCCCGCTGTCCTCCGCGGCTCTGCTTCGTCGCGTGAGCCAAGCCTGGGATAGGGCTTTCCGGATAGGGGATATATTCGTCGAGGACATGTACGTAAAGAAGGCGCTGGGTGAGATGAGTGGGAGCGACGCAGCTACTGCTTCAACTGCGAGCAGCTGGCCTTATGGGCATTCCCTGACGGGCGCAGACCAACCAATGACGAAGGTTACTGCTTGTGAGTGGAGGGGCGTGGCTGATCACCAGTAAGTCCTCTCGGCCCTCGTCAGACAGCTTCTGTGGGCATGGCTGGCCACCATTAAGTCCCTCCTGCAAAAGAAAGGGCTACATCGTCTAGGAGGGGTACTGAACCAAGTGAAAGGGCCGATGTTGCAAGGGATAGTGCCTGGACGAGATGAACTGAGTTTCGGCGTAAGGGGATAGAAGATGAGTGACCAATTTTCCAATGATGCGGATTAGCAAACATCTTGGGTGCATGTATTAGGGCACCGTCGAAGACGTGTGTGCTCAGACGATGATTCCGAAGGTTTGCGGATGACGGTGTTGCTTCCGAGGGTCGCCGATGTGGTCTTCGTAATCGCGGGTGGTGGTGGGCGCCTCAAAGGGGCTGGAGACCGTGCTGGCGATCCCTCCTGCGTTTGTGTTGAAGGTCTGATGCAAACCGGACGAGGATTCGCGAATTCATCGTTTATGCTGGGAGACGTCACTCTGCGAGCTGACGCCCCCATCACGGGGGGTGTTTCGCACCACGTCTTTCAGGTACTTTCGGGGGAGCAATTGTTTTGATGTCAGTTGATTTCGGGTTTGCTCCGGGATAGATGTCGACCTCCTCGCGGACGAGCCGGAATAGCGCACTGAGCCTTGGGATAGATGGAGGGGCCTGGATAGAATTTCGTGTGCTGTTGCTGTCTGGGCTTACAGGGCAACAAGACAGCAACATAAGCACACTGTACATTCATTCTCCTTTCTCTTTTGTTTGTTTCTTGACTTCGTCCGTGTAGCTGCGCCCCACTTGTACAGTTTTGCCCCCGTGGATAGTGTCCCTGTACGTGGTGGATCCGCTTAGCCAACTCGCAGCCGGAGGCCAGAGGAGCTAAAACGATCGGGCGTCGACGAGGGATAGATCCTCTTCCCTAACCCTTGGGATAGTTATCTGTTCTCTTTACAACTCATAGCCGGAGGCCGGAGGATACTGAGGATAGGTGGCTGTCCAGGTGAATATTGGGATAGGTGTACAACACGCAGCCGGACGGCTAGTGGATACATCTTGAACGATAGGTTACCACCCCCTGGAGATAGCAACTTTGGGCATCCTTCCGATAGTTAACGTCGGGAGTGGCTTGGAATACTTGGCTAGCTACCTCGTGTTCCCCGTTGACAGGGATACTGTTACTTCTGGAGCAACTTAACACCTCACAACTGTAAATAACCAACTTCCTTGTCTACTTGGGTCTGATCAACCGGAATAGTGGACACAGTTTTTCAGTTCTTCGACGCGCAAGTTTTCCTTGATTTGGACACTTCGCACAGTAACCTCCTCCCTAAACCCTAAACCCTAAACCCGAAATCCTAAACCCTAAGCCCTAAACCCTAAACCTTGAACCCTAAGCCCTCATGGAAAACGCCAAGCCCCGAGTTCCGCCTTTTGCTGGCCAGGCGGAACAGGGCCTGAAGCTACTGAAAGCCACGGCTCCTGGGCGGAAGCAGTCAACTAAGCCCGAAACTGGGTTTAGGGTTTAGGGTTTAGGGTTCAGGGTTTAGGGTTGAGGGTTTAGGGTTAGCGGTTCGGTTTAGGTAAGCCCTCAAACCCCTCAACCCCAAACTACGTGAGCTTGTGCCTCCGATGTTGTCGAAGTATGTACCCACAGCTGGGGTGAGTTGGCCCAGCAAGCTGCATCATAAACCTTAACCCTAAACCCTAAGCCCTATCTTGCTGCTTTAACCTGTCTTAGCTCGCGGGTTTAGGGTTTAGGGGGGGTGTTGGTGGGTGGCTGGCTGGGTGGCTGGGTGGCTGGGTGGTTAACTTGTAGTGTTGGAGGGCTGAAGAGACAAACTCAACCCTAAACCCTAAAACTCCAAAATTGAAAGCCGTGAACTCAATCCTGAAACCCTGATACTATACTTGAGGCCTGGTCTTTTCGTTCTCAAACCCCAAAACACCTAAACCCCAAACCCTCAAGGCCAGGACAAACAGAAATTGTATGTGAGTCACTGAGAACTTAAAATTTGGAGGGCTACAATAATCCCTCATTTTCTCAAAGCTTGCAATTTAAAATTGCAAGAGGAACAAATCCCGAAAAACCCCGACAAAACCCGACAACCCACCCCCCCCCCAAAAGAAAAAACAAGAAAACAAAAAAATCACACACACACACACACACACCCTATGCAATTAATAGGAGCCCTAAACCCATACGCGCTGTAATACCCTAAAGCCCGACCTCGAGGAAGCTACGGGCGCGGAGTACGATGCCGGCGCTGCTGAGGCACTGGCTTCCGCAGACCCCGAGACCCTCATGCAAGCCTAAAGCCCTCCCTAAACCCTAAACCCTAAACCCTGTAAAACCCTACAGAGTTGGAGGCCCTCATTCATACAATTCGCTCAAGCCCTAGACCCTAAACCTACGGTGTACACTTCGGTTCTTTCTTTTTCTAAACCTGAAGCCCTAAACCTTACACCCTAAACCCTAAACCCTAAACCTTAAACCCTAAACCCTAAACCCTTAACTGGTTCTGAGGCGGAAGTGAGTGCACCTTAGGTTCCCTCACGGGGGCCACCAAGCTCCCGATTATCAGAGTTGGGTTTAGGGTTTAGGGTTTAGGGTTTAGGGTTTAGGGTTTAGGGTTTAGGGTTTAGGGTTTAGGGTTTAGGGTTTAGGGTTTAGGGTTTAGGGTTTAGGGCAACCCCTCAGACCTATCCTTCGCCCCCCTGAGGCTTACAAGAGAGAGATCGAGGCCAAGATCGCGAAGTCGCCTTGACAGAAGATGGGCCCCGAAAGTTAGAAAAGATGTTGCCCTGAGCCTCATTGAAGGGTTTAGGGTTTAGGGTTTGGGGTTTGGGGTTTAGGGTTTAGGGTTTAGGGTTTAGGGTTTAGGGTTTGGGGTTTAGGGTTTAGGGTTTAGGGTTTAGGGTTTGGGGGTTTTTCAGTTTTGGGTGAAGAGGCGATCATCCGATCGGAGGGCCATCCCCCGCCATGGGAATGGGGTCATCCACAGCCGCACACCTTGGGGGGGGGGGGGGGGGGAAGTTTTTGGGGTTTAAAGTCTTTGGGGGGGGGAGAGGGGTTTAGGGTTAGGGTTTAGGGTTTAGGGTTTAGGGTTTAGGGTTTAGGGTTTAGGGTTCGTGTGTTCTCGGGGCTTTTCACTAAGGCTGGAGATGGAGGCAACCCAGCTGACCGGCAAGGACAACAAGAAGGAGACCTGGCGTAGGTACGACGCTGCCCCTCCATGGGGCCTCCACTTGTATACTTTTTTTTGGGGGGGGTAGGCCCCAGATTTATTACTAACTTGAAGGGTTTGGGAGTCACCGGTAGAGCTTCTACCTTAAACTCTACACCAGCGTAGCTTCCGAAAATCTCCATACCCTAAACCCTAAACCCTAAACCCTGCTAACATCATAGACCCTGGTTTAGGGTTTAGGGTTTAGGGCTTAGGGCTTAGGGCTTAGGGCTTAGGGCTTAGGGCTTAGGGTGGTTCTCTTGTGACTTCCCCGTCCCTTTGTCAGGAGCGCTCCGCCAAGGGCAAAGAGGCGTCCGTGCTTGGGAATTCACCTGTAGCTAGGGTTTAGGGTTTAGGGTTTAGGGTTTAGGGTTTAGGGTTTAGGGTTTAGGGTTTAGGGTTTAGGGTTTAGGGTTTAGGGTTTAGGGTATTGGGCTTGCAAGCCCTAAACACCCTAAGCCCCAAACCGTTTAGATCCAGGGCCTTGTGGGAAATAGCTTCGTACCCTAAACCCTAAACAGGCCTTAAACCCTAAACCCTAAGCCCTAAACCCTAAACCCTAGACCCTACACCCTAAACCCTAAACCCCAAACCCTAAACCCTGAACCCTGAACCCTGAACCCTGAACCCTGAACCCTGAACCCTAAACCCTAAACCCTAAACCCCCTCAACCGCGCCTTGGAGTCCTTGAGCCAGGCTTGGGTTATTTGGTTCGGGCCTTGGGCTTTGGGGTTTAGAGTTCAGCGTTTTCGGGTTTGGGGTTTAGGGTTTAGGGTTTGGGGTTTGGGTTTTTGGGTTTCGGGTTTAGGGTCTACGGTCTAGGGCCTAGGGTTTTGGGTTCCGGGTTTAGGGTTTTCATAAGGATTCCAGAAGGTTGTTGGGGATGTAGAAGCGAGCCTACGCCCTCTACCCTAAACCCTGAACCCCAAACCCTAAACCCTAAACCTTACTGGTGCTTGACGAGGTGGCTGACTTGAAGAACGAGCACAAGTACGTGGACGCCTGCAAGATCGTGTGGCTTGGGCCCGCATACTATGCGGGTTGAGGGTTTAGGGTTCTGGGTTTTGGGTTTTGGGGTTTAGGGTTTAGGGTTTAGGGTTTAGGGTTTAGGGTGAGCCCCACACTATGCCTCGTTGGTGCTTTTCGGGTTCGGGACTTAGGTTTCAGGATTCCCTAAGCCCTAAACCCTAAACCCTGCACCCCCAAACTTTGGGGTGTTCATGTTCTTCGGAATCTCTGCACAGCCCTGTCCTGCTACTTGTACAAACCCTGTCGCCTCGTGCTTAGATCCCTAAACCCTAAACCCTAAACCCCAAACCCTAAACCCTAAACCCTAAACCCTTTGCGAGGGTTGGGTTTAGCTTTTCTGGGTTAAAGGTTTGGGGGGTTCCTCAAGGCTGCGAAAGTGCTGGGCTCAGGTATGGGATGCCTTGTCCAGCATGCTCAAAGCTATCATCCTGAAACCTACGGTTTACAGTTTAGGGTTTAGGGTTTAGGGTTTAGGGTTTAGGGTTTAGGCTTAGGGTTTAGGGTTTAGGGGTTAGGGTTCAGGCCTGAAGCCCTACAACCCTCAAACCCTACAACCCTTGACCCTAAAACCCCAAGCTGACCAACCCCCAAAGCCCTAAATCCCTGAAAACCTAAAACCCTAAGCCCGAAACCCTTTAGCCCAAGATTTAAAATCTAGATTCCGAAATCGTCATCCTGACGGAGTCATCAAAATTCAGTACCCCGACATTGAAGATCTCAAATCGATGGAAATCACTGAGGAATCAGTCGGCCTCGCAAAAGCCCCCAACCCACAACCCACAAACCCTACCCCTTAATTTGGTTCAGATTACTTCCAGCCTCGGGGGTTCATTTAGGGTGGGGCTTATGGAGCGCCTTCGCAGGCTCTTGCAATGAATGCGGCTGTGTTGCCGGAATTCAGCTCCAGACGAAATCCCTTGGTAAACCCGAAGCCCTAAACCCTTTTGTCATCCCTGCCGCTTGAGTGGAAAGTGTAGCCACTGTGGTCTTATTAACGGCTTCCAGAGCTAAACCCATACACCCTAAAAAACACCTACAGGCGGGCCTGAAGTTATCATCGTAGGCATTCGGAAGCGATCTCATGCTTTCTTCCATGGCGTCCTTAAGGGTTTAGGTTTTAGGGTCCCCCCTCCTCCTTCAAAGGGGTTCGGATGTATTTGCCCTAACTCGTTTGGGGTATAAAAGGGGTACCCATCTAAGGGTCCATGCTAAGGGACTACGTAGCTACCCCCATAAGCCAGAAACTGTAATCCCCTAAACCCCTGCACAACCCACGGGAAAGGTAACCCCCTAAAACCCTACAAACCCCAAACCATTCAAGCCCTTGATGCCTGAAATTCTCAACCGCAAACCGCTAAAACCCTACAACCCCAACTCCCCAAAAGCCTATCAACTCCAAACGCTTGAACCCCTAAACCCCTGTAAAGCCATCAGGGAAGGTGACCCCTAACCCCTACCACCCTATCAACCCTAGAACCCTGGAACCCTTGAACCCTTCGACCACCCTCAGGAAAGGTCCCCCCCTAGACCCTGAACCCTAAACCCAAAACTCTGCGCCCCAACCGCTAAACCCCAAACCTAAACCCCAAACCCTACACCCCAAACCCCAAACCCTAAACCACTAAACCCGAAACCTTCAACCCTAATTAAGCCCTAAACCCAAAAACCTTTCAGCCACCCTCAGGAAGGGCCTCGAGCCGAAGTTCGGGCATTCCCTGAACCCTAAACCCTAAACCCTAAACCCTAAACCCTAAACCCTAAACCCTAAACCCCATATGTTTTTTTGGGCCACCAAGGAAAGGCCTCGAGTCGAAGTTCGGGCATTTCGTCACGAAGGAGGCCGTGCGCCCGGAGATCGAAGCTGCGGAGCCCGTTCAGGCTGAGGGTTTAGGGTTTAGGGTTTAGGGTTTAGGGTTTAGGGTTTAGGGTTTAGGGTTTAGGGTTGAGGGTTTAGGGTTCAGGGTTCAGGGTTTAGGGTTTAGGGTTTGGGTGTTAGGGCTTCAGAGGTTTGCAGAGTTTCGTGTTTAGAGGTTAAGGTTTAGGGTTAGGCCGAGGTTTCAGGGCTCCTCAGGGTTGAGGAGTTTAAGGGATTTTGTTTGGCTTTTCAGGGGTTTCAGGGTTTATAGCTTTTGGGTTTTAGGGTTTCAGGAGCTTAGTGGGACTTTAGGGGGTTTAGGGGCTTTAGGTGTTTTAGGGTTTAGGGGTGTTAGGGTTTTAGGGGTTTTTGGGTTTCAGAGGCTTAGTGGTTCAGGGTGTCGGTTTTCAATTTAAGGAGGGAATTTAAGGGTTCACGCGGTGAATGGTTTAGGGTCTAGTAAAAGGATTTCAGGGCTTTAGGGTTTCGGGGTTTCGGGTTTAGGGTTAAGGTCTTTGATTCGGGGGGCATCAAACCGTACGAGCACGCAGGCCCATTCTGGTTGGCAACCTGGGTCGGGGTGGACCCTAAACCCTAAACCCTAAACCCTAAACCCTAAACCCAAAACCCTCCAAGAGCCACACGGTCACCGGGCAACCTTCAGACACAGGAGCCAACATGAGGCGAGGTCGCCGGGGCACTACTTGGAAAGCAACCATGTGGAAGCCAGGCAGCTTAAAGTGTGCCAAAACAACCAACGAGACGGCCAAAAATAGGCAGGGTCACCGGGGAAAACGAACACGAGCAAAATGAATATGAGCAGGAAGAGAACGAACACGAGCAGAATGATTACGAGCAGAGAGTGAACGAATACGAGCAGAACGAAAACGAGCAGACTGAAATCGAGCAGAGAGAGAACAGAACGAATACGAGCAGAAAGAGCACGAGTACGAGAAGAAAGAGAACGAACACGAGCAAAATGAATATGAGCAGGAGGAGAACGAATACGAGCAGACTGACATCGAGCAGAGAGAGAACGAATACGAGCAGAAAGAGAACGAATACGAGCAGACGAGCAGAAAGACAGCGAAATCGAGCAGAGACCGAACGAATACGCGCAGAAAGAGCACGAATACGAGCAGAAAGAGAACGAACACGAGCAAAATTAGTATGAGCAGAAAGAGAACGAATACGAGCAGAATGATTACGAGCAGAGAGAGAACGAAAACGAGCAGACTGAAATCGAGCAGAGAGAGAACGAATGCGAACAGAATGAATACGAGAAGAAAGACAACCAAAACGAGCGGACTGAAATCAAGCAGAGAGAACGAATACGAGCAGAATGAATACGAGCAGAACGAGAACGAACACGAGACGAGCAGATCAGAAAAAGAATGAATACGAGCAGAATGAATACGAGCAGAAAGAAACGCATACGAGCAGAATGGAAACCAAGCAGAATGACAAAGAACACGAGCAGAATGAATAAATGAGGTTGGAGGACAGGGCTTGCTGATTAACAAAAAAACCTTCATATTTCTTAATGGTTTGGGATTCTCTGGGTGGGTGGGGTTTTTTTCTAGAGTCCAGACAGCGGCTCTACTAGAGATTGCTCGACCCAGAGCTGCTGAACCCTAAACTCTAAACCCTAAACCCTAAACCCTAAACCCTAAACCCTAAACCCTAAACCCTAAACCCGCTAGAGCAGACACGCAGGAGGCTGTTGAGACCAAGCCCAAGAAGGAGAACAAGAAGGCCGGGCCATGGGAAATGACGGCTACACTGGGTTTAGGGTTCCTGAAGGCCTTGGGGGCGTGCCGTGGGTGTAGGGTTTAGGGTTTAGGGTTTAGGGTTTAGGGTTTAGGGTTTAGAGTTTAGAGTTTAGAGTTTAGGGTGCAGGGTTTAGGGTTTAGGGTTTAGGGTTTAGGGCTTGAACATGGCGCCCGATCAGCGAATCTAATGCCGCCCGCCCCCACCCCCCCCCCCCCCCCCCCCCCCCCCATGCTGAAGTGTCCACCTCCAGCCGGACTATACCGCTCCCTAAACCCTAAACCCTAAACCCTAAACCCTGAACCCTGAACCCTGAACCCTGAACCCTGAACCCTGAACCCTGAACCCTGAACCCTGAACCCTGAACCCTGAACCCTAGCCCTAAACCCTAAACCCTAAACCGCCTGATTCAGTCCCGCCACCCTCCCGTGAGGAGAAGAAGGCGGAAAGCACGGGCTTGAGCCATGAGGAGCTGAAGGCAATGTGGGATGTGGTCTAGGGGGGTTAGGGGTGATTTGAGGGTTTTTCCCCCTAAACCCTAAACCCGAAACCCTAAACCCTAAACCCTGAACCCTAAACCCTGAACCCTGAACCCTAAACCCTAAACCCTAAACCCTTGACCCTAAACCCGAAACCCTACACTAGGGGTCGAAGAGCCCGCATCAAGACTCTGCCCCTAAACCCTAAAACCTAGACCCTAAACCTAGGTAGGCCTTGGTATATGCTGTATTTCTTTTGTTGGGCTAACTTGAGGATCCCCTATGTTGTCAGCGAGCCCTGACACGCTTAAGCCCTAAGTTGTTTTGGGAACATATTCTGCAGCTTGGATCTTACCTGCGTGTTGGGCATGTAAAGCTGCGTCCCTCTGTTCGTCGCCCGTTGCTTTGGTATTCTCTGCAAGGCCAGGGTCAAAGCCCCATGGGCGGTAACGGCTCACTGTTTGGAAGGCCGTCTTTGCACAACTCACCTGTTGACAGAAGTCATGCAAGTAGAGGCTGGAGAAACCGAAGCCCCATCTTTGGCAGGGGTGCAACCCTTCCATTGAGGCCGCCCGTGTCCGCCGCCGACTGATGCTTGCTGTCAGTGCTGTCTTCGACTTGACTGGTATATCGAGCTCTTGCGATTACGTGTTTCACGTCTTGCCTTGCAGGACGACACGGGCAAGTTGGACAGCCGTGTCCTGAAGGTTGTCCAGGGCAAGGCAGACATGCTGAGTCTGTTGAAAGAGAAGCTGGCGGAGATGGACCGTCGCTCCTGTTCGAGCAGATGGAGATGGAGAGGAACTTGATGTCAGGGGCGATGCCAGAGACAGAGGATGCCGAGACGTCCAGAGACCGAGGATGCCTAGGATCCAATTTAGGAATTTCAGAGGGTTTTCGTTCGGGACCAGCCCAGGATCTTTGGGCCCCCTTAAAGCCCTAAATCCTAGCCCTAAACCCTAATCCCTAAACCCTAGCCCTAGACCCTACACCCGAACCCACAAAAAAACCTGGAAGGAACTGGAAGACCTTAAGCAGAAGATCATCGAGGAGAAGGCTTCTTGCCGCTTGTGTGTTCGCTCAGCTTGGGCTTGCTGCCTAAACCCTAAACCCTAAACCCTAAACCCTAGACCCTAGACCCTAAACCCTAGACCCTAAACCCTAGACCCTAAAGCTTGGGTGTTCGCTCAGCTTGGGCTTTGGGGGCGCTCAGAGCTTTTCGAAGGTGCTGCTGCGGTCGAGGGATTTAGGGTGTTAGGGTTTTAGGGTTTTAGGGTTTAGGGTTCAGGGTTTTTAGGGTTTAGGGTTTAGGTTCTGGCACGATCCTATTACGATCCTTCATCAGGTCCGTCGCCCAGAACGGGAGTGTAGGGCGATAACGAATTATGCGAAGTTGCTTGGGCGTTGTTCGGGTTAGGGTTCAGGGTTTGGGGTTCGGGTTTGGGGTTTAGGGAGCCCTTTCCCTAACCCTAAACCTCCGCCCGAAACCCTAAAAATAGAGCCCTGAACCGCTATCGATGTCAGAGATGAGCCACCCTAAACCCTAAACCCTAAACCCCAAACCCCAAACCCTAAACCCTAAACCCTAAACCCTAAACCCCAACCGCTGGAGTTGAGGGTGAGCTTCCACCGCTCGCGCGAGGCCATCCTGAAGGAACAGGGCCTCAGCGGGGGACAGATCAACAAGGTCGGAGGTTTGGGTTTAGGGATTTTTTTAAGGGTTTAGGGTTTAGGGTTTAGGGTTTAGGGTTTAGGGTTTAGGGTTTAGGGTTTCAGGGAAACCCACGGGTGCAGGGTACGTGTAGCCCCCTACCCTAAACCCGACGGCGTTGAACCTGGCCCTAAACCTCCACTAAACGACTGAAAAAGGGGGTTGAAGCCTATCTATGCCCTAAACCCTAAACCCTAAACCCTAAACCCTAAACCCTAAACCCTAAACCCTAAACCCTAAACCCTAAACCCTAAACCCTAAACCCTAAACCCTAAACCCTAAACCCTAAACCCTAAACCCTAAACCCTAAACCCTAAACCCTAACCCTAAACCCTAAACCCTAAACCCGAAGGGGAACCTCTTCACAGACGGGGGATGGAGGAAGCCAGCTGGCGTACAACCTGAGCCTTCCATCTTCTGGTACTCGAAGCTAAGGGTTTAGGGTTTAGGGTTTAGGGTTTAGGGTTTAGGGATTTATACCAGAAGAGAAGTTCCAACAGGGTCCCTTATACTGAAAAGTTTGCCCCACCACATGCCGTTTTGATAACCTGAAGCCCCTAAACCCGAAACCCTAGGCCGGTAAGCTCTAACACCCTGGAGCTTGCGGCTTAGGGCTTGTGATGTTGGGGTTTAGGGTCTGGGGTCTGTCGAGCTTATAGGGCTCGGGGTGATCAATTCAGGGGTTTAGGGTTTAGGGTTTAGGGTTTAGGGTTTAGGGTTAATTAAGGGGTTTTGGGTTTAGCCTTTTTCTCGCAACAGCCGCCCGCAGAACGAGAAGATTGTGGCGATGGTCAACCGGCTGAATGAGCTCAAGGACCCCATGGCTACCATTTCCTTGAGAATCCCCCAAAAACGAAATAACCCTAAACCCTAAACCCTAAACCCTTAACCCTAAACCCTAAACCCTAAGCCCTAAACCTTGCAAAAGACCTTGCAAGGGACCCTCAGATCTTGTTGGCAAGCAAACCCTAAACCCTGAACCCAGAACCCTAAACCCTAAACCCTAAACCCTAAACCCTAAACCCTAAACCCTAAACCACCAAAAGGAGAAGCAGGATCCTGGCAGCTCCAAGAAGGACAAGGACGCCCGAGGCCCAGTCGGTGGAGAGAATCTATTTGTCCGCTGCTTGGGTGGGGTTTAGGGTTTAGGGTTTAGGGTTTAGGGTTTAGGGTTTAGGGTTTAGGGTTTAGGGTTTAGGGTTTAGGGTTTAGGGTTTAGGGTTTAGGGTTTAGGCGGCCCAGTGGTAGCCTTTTCCCTGCTTGTTGGTTCAAGGCTCCCTTATAAAGGAACCGACCAAAAAAAGCGTGCCCTGCCATGATATGGGTACTGGCTACCAAGGAGTATGGCGGCTATCGGGTCTTGCGATTAAGGCATTTGGGTTATTGAAGTTGCATCGCGTTTAGGCACCTATAGGCTTATGGTATAGGGTTTAGGGTTTAGGGTTTAGGGTTTAGGGTTTAGGGTTTAGGGTTGTCCTAGAAATTCTAAACTGTAAGCCGTGCGGTTAAGTTTTCCGACCATGGGGCTGGTTGTTTGACTGGTGCCTTCACACCGCAATCGTTTAGGGTTTAGGGCTTATAGGGTTTTTAGGGTTCGGGGTTTCGGGTTTAGGGTTTAGGGTTTAGGGTTTGGGGTTTAGGGTTTTAGGGTTTTAGGGTTTTAGGGTTTAGCTCAAGAGCGCTTGGCTTGACGGCGCGTAAGATCTTCAGGGTTCAGGGGTTTGGGGCTTTAATGTCAACTCTATAAACCCTAAACCCAAAACCCACCCAAGGCGAAGAAGGACTCGAAGAAGAAGACGCCCCTCAGTGCGGATGAGCAGAAGGAGCCTCCTCTCGTCCAGTTGCGCAGCTCTGTGGCTGCTAGAGATTTGGGTTTGGCTATGGAGCCCCCACAAAGCCCCAAACTGTTGCACAGATCAGGGTTTCGGGTTTAGGGTTAAGGTTTAGGGTTTAGGGTTTAGGGTTTCGGCTTTGGGGTTAAGGGTTTAGGGTTTGCGGGGGAGTTAGGGAACAGGGTGCAAGGCGCCAAGGCAAGTCTACAGCTCAACAGATTCTCACAAGGAGAACCCCTCGAGTCGCTACGAGCTGGGTTGTCACATTTGTGGCTGATTAGTTTAAGGGTTTTGGGTTTAGGGTCTGGGGTTTGGGGTTTAGGGTTTGGGGTTTAGGGTTTGGGGTTTGAGGTTCAGAGGTTCGAGGGTTTAGATCTTGATCCAAGGGGCCTATGTGCGGATTTAGAGTTCAGGGTTTGGGGTGTCGCGCTGAGGGTTCTGGGGGGTTCTACTTAAAGTTTAAAGTGCCATCAGAAATTGTGCACCTAAACCCTTCATCCTACTACGACCTAAACCCTAAACCCCTAAAACCCCAGAACTCCAAAACCTTGAAACCCTAAACCCTGAAACCCAAGTACAAAACCTATACCCAAACCCAAAACCGTAAACCCTAAACCCCAAACCCTAAACCCTAAACCCTAAACCCTAAACCCTAAACCCTAAACCCTAAACCCTAAACCCTAAACCCCAAACCCAAAACCCAAAAACCCTCAACCCTACCCGGCGAAGGAGTACGCGCAGCTCCAAGGCCTGCCATTTGTTTAGGGTTTAGGGTTTAGGGTTTAGGGTTAGGGTTTAGGGTTTAGGGTTTAGGGTTTAGGGTTTGGGGTTTGGGGTTTAGGGTTTAGGGTTTAGGGCAACTAGGACCCAGAGCACGACCTAATTCTCCCTTTTTGTTAACGTGTTTCGTTCTCTTCCAATATAAGCCCTTTAATCCCAAAAGGGCACCCTGTTTATGCCTAGATTGCTCCTGGGTCCAGTTTGCGCACTTGCTGAGTTCGGAGAGTTTTCGGGTGTAGGTTTCGGGGTTTAGGGTCTAGGGCTTGGGGTTTAGGATTTAGGGTTTCATTAGGGTTTAGGGTTTGGGGTTTAGGTTTTTTGGGCTCGTGTTTAGATGGGTGAAAGGGTTTAAAGGGTATGGAAGATTTAGAGGGGATGTGGAGGCTTAGAGTATCTTAGAGTCACACGGGTTCGAGAGGTTTCAGACGGTTTAGTAGTTTAGGGTCTAGAGGGTTTAGAGGGTTAGAGGGTTAGAGTGTTTAGGGTTCAGGGTTTCGAGTTTAGAGGGTGTAGAGGGCTTGGAGGGTTTAGGGGGTTTAGAGGGTTTAGGGTCTAGAGGGCTTGTAGGGCTGGGTTTTGGAGCCAGGGTTGTAGAAGGCTTTGGGAGCCTTTTTGGAGTGTTTAGTTTTTTCATTTTCCTTGGGCCTGGGCTTAAGTTCTGGCTTGCAGAGGACCTCCACCAGTGGTCACAGGTTTAGGGTTGAGGGTTTAGGGTTTAGGGTTTGGGGTTTGGGGTTTAGGGTTTGCGGCTTGCTCCCGCAAGGCGGGGAGATCCACGGCTCTTCTGAGTCCGCGAAGAAGTCACGCGGGCCGATTTTCAGCCGACACTTAGGGACTATGCTAGGCGACTCTAGCTTGGCGACCCCCAAAGGTGCGGCTGCAGGCTCTGCAGCTCAGCAGAGCCTGCCATGGTCTCGCTGAACGCTCGACTGCGCCCACTCACCCACAGAAGGAGAGGGGTGGTGGGCGGGTTTAGGGTTTAGGGTTTAGGGTTTGGGCTTTCATGCCTTGTTTTCCTGCTTCCTCTTCCTCCGTCAGTGAAAATATTGCGCGTCCGCAATTCCTGCGACAGTTGCTCGAGAACGAGCGCAGCAAGTGCGGCATGCATCGATGGGCCATCCTCACAAGGGCCACAGGAGTGAGACAAGTTGGAGCAGCGTGCAAATGCAGAGGGACGATGGACCATGTTGCAAGGTAAGGCTCGTCCTGCATTGCAAGTTCTACCGGAGGAAGCGCTTCCTCGGCTAGCAAGTGCCATGTCGCAAAAGTGTGGCATGACCCGCGTGCAGGGGATGACACAGCTCTTATCGGGCATTCTCAAACCCAATGTTGTTGTGACTTCGAGGGTTTAGGGCTTAGGGTTGAGGGACCGCTGGATCAAGTTGGATCCCCCTCATTGGGCGTATTGGAGCAGATGGATTTTCCTTATAGGGTACCATCGTCTTCCTGCCCCTTTTGGAGCACCTAAACCCTCCTAAACCCTCAAACCCAAAACTCTCAGCCCCTCGAACCCTCAAACCCTAAACCCGCAACCCCGAACCCTAAACCCTAACCCTAAACCCGAAGCCCTTAACCCTCTACCCAAAATCCCTACACCTGGAACCTAGAGTAGCCTTATTCCCTTTTTTGGGGGTTTAGGTTCCCTTATAAGCCCCTCTAAACCCCTAAACCCCTAAACCCCTAAACCCCTAAACCCGTAAACCCCTAAACCCCTAAACCCCTAAACCCCTAAACCCCTAAACCCCTAAACCCCTAAACCCCTAAACCCCTAAACCCCTACCCCTAAACCCCTAAACCCCTAAACCCCTAAACCCCTAAACCCCTAAACCCCTGAAAACCCTAAAAACCCTGAACTCTAAACCCTAAACCCTAAACCCTAAACCCTAAACCCTAAACCCTAAACCCTAAACCCTAAACCCTAAACCCTAAACCCTGAACCCTGAACCCTGAACCCTGAACCCTGAACCCTAAACCCTAAACCCTAAACCCGAGATTTTGGTCTGCAGGCGACCTCGAGGTGTACAAGGCGAAGCTGCGAAACGAGTTCGGATACAGCCCGGGAGCTCGGGCGGGCGCCCGAAGCCCCGAACCTCGAGACTCCCCTCAGCACACTCTGAAACCTCAAGGGTTTAGGGTTTAGGGTTTAAGGTTCCTAAGCCCTAAACCCTAAACCCTAAGCCCAGAATTCTCAAAGCCTCAAGCTCGATCATCCCGAAATCCGAAACCTGCCTCTGCTGTGCCCGAATGAACCTGTCCCCAAGATCCGTGCTTCCTGCGGGTCAAGGCTTTAGGATTTAGGCTTCAGGGTTCAGGGTTTAGGGTTCAGGCTTTAGGGTTTAGGGTTCAGGGCTATTGTTTAGGTTTTAGGGCTCTGGTTTTTGCTTCTTAAGATAGCACATGATGCCTTGGCATCTGAGGGACACGTGACTTTCAGAAGCCGAAGCCAGGGCGAACGACAGGGGTTTGGGGCCATGCGGAGAATCTGCCGTGGCACGTTTAGGGTTGAGGGGGCCGGGCGTTTAGGGTTTATGGTTTAGGGTTTAGGGTTTAGGGTTTAGGGGTTAGGCTTATTTAGGGGCTACTTAGGTATATAGGGGCTATATAAGGCATATATAGGGGTTATATAGGGGAATAAGATCCCTAAACCCTAAACCCTAAACCCTAAACCCTAAACCCTAAACCCTTAAGGGTCCCTCTTCTAGGGGTCCCTCCTTATACCCCTTAATCTTCAAACGGAGCCACCTGTTCTTGGGCTGCCGATTTTTTTAGGGTTTCGGGTTTAGGGTTTAGGGTTTAGGGCCTGTTGCAGTTCAACATACCCCAAACCTATACCTCTTAACCTTCAAAAGAAGCATAGATGGAAGGATTTTGCCATACTCCCTGATATTTCGGTTGAGGGGTGTGGCCAAGGGGTATGTTGAATATTTCTTAGATGTAAGAGTGAGGCACTCACAATCCAGCATCGACAGTCGTGAGGAGGCGTGCACCTAAAACCTTGAAGCCTAAACCCTAAACCCTGAACCATAAGCCCAAAAACTCCTAAACCCTAAACCCTAAACCCTCTCTCAAAGTGTAGCAAGAACCCATACATCCGCGCTGAGGCAACAAGGACATGAAGGCGGATCCGGATTTGAAGGTTGGGCCCTCAGTCTGGGATTTGGAAAAGGTTTTTTTTTCACCCAAGGGTTAAGGGTTTCGGGTTTCAGGTTTGGGGTTTAGGGTTTTGGTTTCGGGTTTCGGGTTTAGGGTTTAGGGTTTAGGGTTTAGGGCTGCATGTTTACACCCTAAAGGTTTAGGGTAGCTTCTCTAGGCCCTCGGCCTTCTCGTGCGTTTGCTGCCGGGCGCTCCCAAGACATGGACCAGCTGACTGAAATGCGCAGCTAAGACACTAGAAGCAGCGAGCACACTACAAATAGTTACTTTAAAGACATGTTGCACTAAGTGCAAACCCCGTTAATTCCCAAAATCTTCAGTCTTCACATGAAGCCTTGTCAGTCTCAGTTTAGGGTTCAGAGTTTCGGAGTTTAGGGGTTTACTGGGTTTTGGGGTTGAGGGGTTAACTCGGACTTGCAGTAGTTCCTCTTTTTTTGTTTTGTTCAAGCACCACGTTCCCTTAATGAAACCTTCGAAGGCAAGCAAGGGTTGCTTTCGGAGTTCAGGGGTTCGAGCTAAGAGCAACGCTTCAGGACAATGTTCTGTAGGTTTAGAGGTTAGGGTTTAGGTTTTTAGGGTTCCCGAAATGCGGGGTACCTTAAAGGGGTCTTTATTATAAGGGAGTCCTACTATTTGCGGATCTATATCAGGGCTCCTTAATTTTTCGTACACCCCCCATACAGGAGCTCTGTGTGTGTACGACATATGAAGGGTACATAAGGACTCAAGATATTTCAGAGCCCATATTAAGGCCCATATTTACCTCGTAGACTTGAGACCTCTTTCGGTCATTTCGGCTGCTAGGGTTTGGGTTTCGGGTTTCGGACCCTAAACCCTAAACCCTAAACCCTAAACCCTAAACCCTATACCCTATACCCTAAACCCTAAACCCTAAACCGCAGGGGGTATTGGGTTTAGGGCCCAAGTCTTTCCCCGAAGGACATGGAAGCCCGTCTCGCGGCCTTCGAGAAACGCAGCTGAAGCTGACGTACGAGCCTCAGAAATTAGGGTTTAGGGTTTAGGGTTTAGGGTTTTCCAGTGGGCGTTTTGTAGGGCTACAGGTTGTTTTACCCAGCCCTAGATCAGCATAAATGCAGACGTAGGCTTGAAGTCCGGGCCCTAAACACTAAACCCTAAACCCTAAACCCTAAACCCTAAATCCCTCAACCTCCAAACTGGTGGAGTCGGGTTCCCTTCCACACCTTAAGCCCTAAGCCCTAAACCTTAAACCCTGAACCCTAAATCCGCGCACTTCCCCCAAGAGCTCCTGACCGACTCTGCGGGTGGTGACCGGGTGCGGCGCGAGTTCGAGCTGCTTGGGGCGGCCTTTGGGAGCCCAGCATACATTGCCAGCAGGGCTGAAGCAAGGGTCGACGCAGCCTCCCAGCTGCTGGCGGTTTTGGAGGAGGTGCAGGACCCGCAGGTCGGCCTGCGCCTCCTCCGCTCCTGCGCAGGCCATGCACGGGTGGTCCACATGATGCGGTGCAACCCGCCGTCGGCGCAGCATGGGGCACTACAGAACTTCGACACAAGGCTCGCCACTGTTTGGCTGCCATGACCGGCCTCCACCTCAACCGCGTGCAGTGGCAGCAGGCTGGGCGTAGTCTCTCGCAGTCTGGCTTGGGGCTGCGGCTGGCTGCAATGGATGCCCCGGCCTCGCGTGGGAGCGCGGCACAGGCCGCCAACAGCTGGATGCGAATTTCGCGCCAGCCCCTCCCACAAGCGGCGGAGGTGTGCCAGGCGCTAATCCTCCTCACCACGGTGAGTGGTGGCGGGCATCCTTGCGGCCGTGCTTGCTAATTTTCGGACCTTGCCCGCTAATTTTCGGACCTTGCCCGCTAATTCTCGGGCCTTTCCCGGGTCCGAAAATTAGCGGGCAAGGTCCGAAAAATAGTGGGCAAGGTCCGAAAATTAGTGGGCAAGGTCCGAAAATCAGTGGGCAAGGTCCGAAAATCAGTGGGCAAGGTGGTGGGTCAGCGGGCAAGGTCCGAAAATTAGTGGGCAAGGTCGTGGGGCAGCCAATGGACCTTGCCCAGCCGTCCTGCGCATCCTGCGCTGCGCCCAGGACGTGCAATGGTGGCATGGGCAGGGCGCCTTGCTGACTTGCTGCGGTACGTAGCGAGCTACGTGGCCAAGTATGGCGAGAGCCTGCTTTCCAATGGCCTCGACCTCAGAACCTGGAAGGCAGGAGCACCGGAGCAGGTCATGGCGCTCGCGCGCGAAGCCATGTCTTTCACCAACCTGGCGACGGTCGAGTACGTGCCGCCGGCTCCTCGGTCCTGAGACGGACGCCGTCTATCACTATCGCCGCCGCCCCACCGCACAGGCTGCCGACTGTCTCCTGGAGTGGCTGCGTTGGCATCACGTCCAGGGACATGTCGAGGACGGGCATAGCCGGGTCAGAACGTACCGGAAGAAACATGCCGTGGCGGTCATGTATTCCGGGAAAGCACTGACTCGTTCTATTACCAATGGCTGCTCGTCAACCAACCGCACCGCTGCGAGATGGACCTGATCCCAGCTGCAGCCTATGCCGTGGATCCCTGCTGGCGCCATCAGGCCGCCGCCCTCCTGGTGGCGCCTCACTGCTGGGACAACGAGGTGTAGACTCTGCGGCGCCTTTTTGGGCTTCTCCCGGACAGTTTCTGTGCCTCCTCCCTGGCTCCTCCCGGATTTTGGGCTTTTCAGCTTTTTAAGCATTTTGGTGGCTCCCGGCCTTTTGAAGCCTTTTGAAGCCTTTTGGTCTTCTGGGGCTTTCTGGGGCTTTCCTGGTCCTTCTCAGCCTTTTGAAGCCTTTTGGTGGCTCTTGCTGGCAAAATGGAGGGGCGCCCAAAAACCATTTGATTTCAATACAAAAAAATCGCACTTTTCATTGCGGGCCAAGGCAGGAGGCCTTTTCAAGCCTTTTGCTGGCTCAGCTTTTTGGTGGCTCTTGAGGCTTCTTGCGGGCTTTCCGGTGCTTTCCTGGCCCTTTTGGGGTAAAATTGCAGGCCCCGAAGGCGATTTTGGGACCCTTCTTCCGGGCCTGCTCGGGTGTCAAGATACATCATACAAGCACAATGTTATCAACTGCAGCAGAGAACACACGTTCCTGTACACGGCGGCGCCGTGGCTCCGGTGCGCGCAAATTTGCCAGTACTCAGTACAAGCTCGAGCGATGCCTCGAGGCACGTCTGTACGTCTGAGCTGGCTTGAGGCCGTGCAGGTGAGAGGGTTTTCGGAACCAGATGCAATCCCGCACCACCAGGCAATTCCGGCCATGTGCCTCCATGCAGCGGCCAAGACGAACTCTTTGCCGCCGAAAAAACCGAAGCGTACGGCATGGTCTTGCGCGACCTCGACGTCCTAGCCGCCGCTGACCCCCAGTTCTGGAAAGCGTGCCGCCGCATCTGGTCCGAGGATTGCTCAACGTGCCCAACCTCAACCCCGGCGCCAAAACCGAAGAAGAAGTCTGCGAACCGCGGTGACAAGTGTGGAGAAGAGATCCGCAAGCAACGTGCGGGCATGAGAGAGCTTTCAGCTTGCGAAGTTGCGGATGTCTTTGATGGCGAGCCGGAGGGCCTCTCAGAGGATGAAGACTGAAGATGCGGAGGCCTGGCTTGTATTTGGTGAATGCAGTGCTGGATGTGACCCAGCAAACTGCCCAGTTGCAAGAAGCAAGGGCCCTAAATCCTAAACCCTAAACCTTAAACCTTAAACCCTAAACCCTAAACGCTAAACCCTAAACCCTAAACCCCCCTCAGATGGCCGGGGAGCTCGTGTGCAGGGATTTAGGGCTTTGGACCTCCTAGGGGTTTCAGGGTTTAGGGTTTCGGGTTTCGGGCTAGGGGTTTTAGGATTTTAGGGGGCTTTAGGTTTCAGGCTTTTGGGTTATAGAGCTTAGGGTGAGGTTTTAATCGACATCCCTGCCAATCCAGCTGGCGAGCGAAGCGAGCGAAACACCGGAGTGTATGTAACATTTTGTGCTGTCAGAAGCTGTTTTTAAATGATTTTAGAGTTTTTTCACTCTTCAAATTTGTTTTGTTTTTTTCGAACAAAAATTTTGAACCAGTGTGGAGAGTTTTTCTGAAAAATTAATTGTTTATTGCAAAATAATGGTGGTTTCTTGGTTTTTGCACAATTCAAAATCTTACAAGTTTTTCTAGAACTTCTATGATTGAATAATTGGATTAGTTTGTTTAAGCAAAAATTGTTTAAGGTGCTTACAGATCATTGTCATTTTTTTGTGCAAACTTCTAATAATTTGCCGGATGCTTGGCACTGAAGAATCTTTCTGCAGAATTAGACCGCCCAGAAAGAATAATGGGCAATGTGATTTTTTAGTTTTTTGCATTAAATTTCTGTTGTTGAATACTTGGATATCAGGTGGTTCTTACAGATTTGTCATTCTTTGTGCAAACTCTAATTTGCAGGGGTTCAGGATGTTGGGGCTTTAGGGTCTAGTGGTTCTAGGGTTTGAGGAGTTTTGGGGGGTTTAGATTTTGGAGTCTTGGGGTTTTAGGGGGCTTTCGGGGGTTTTAGGGCTTTAGGGTTTTGGGGCTTTGGGGCTGTTGGGCTTTTGGGGCCTTAGAGTTGTTTGGGGGTGTTAGGGGTTGCGGGTGTTTTTGCGGGTTTAATCTGTTAGGATTTAGGGTTTTAAGGTTTTTGGGTAGAGGTGTTATCGTTTTCTGGCTGAAAGAGCCCACGGGCCATTGCTGGATGATCCCACACATGAAGGGGCATAAGGGGGGAGGGACCCTTAATCGTATTTCCCCTATATGATCCCTATATGTGCCTTTTGTAAACTCCTCTACACCTAAGTAGCCCCTCAGTCCTGATCTTGTAAGTTCCTGATACCCTAAGCCCTAAACCCTAAACCCTTAAGAAGCATCCCCCTAAAACCCTTAAGCATCTGTAAGCCGCAAACCCTTTACCGTCTTGAAGCCCAATGCAGACACCCAATGCAGGCTCAGAGGGAGAGGGGCTCCTGAACCTGAAGGGTTTAGGGTAGGGTTTGTAGGGTTTATAGGATTTATAGGGTTTATAGGGTTTATAGGGTTTATAGGGTTTATAGGGTTTATAGGGTTTGTAGGGTTTGTAGGGTTTGTAGGGTTTAGGGTTTATGGGGTGTATAGGGTTTGGGGTGACGCCAGCGCCCAGCCTTTCGTTGTCTACGCTGGCAAGACCGTCAAGCCTTGCGAACTCCGCAGGGTCGGATGGCTTCAACGCTGGGTGCACCACCAAGGCCGAGTTCTCAATGCTGCATCGGGATGCTTCGAAGCTCCCGTCCATCACGCCTTAAAGATGGGATTTCATGCCCCCGCGAGTGCTTCGTGGCGAGATTTGCCCTTGACCATCCCAGGTGGAGGTCCATTCGTCCATTCTCATCCAGTCCACCATCGTTTGGTGCAGCACCTCCACCAAAAGTCCGTCTACCGGTTCGAGAAAGTGGGTTTAGGGTTTATAAGGTTGAAGCCGATTGATCTGTAACCCTTGAACCCTTGCCTTGGGATCCTTTACGTGACGTGAAGCCCTAAACCCTTTGTTTCCTTTGAGCCCTAACCCTATGTATGCTCTTCAGCTCTAAACGGTCAAGACTCCTTATAAGACTGAAATGCCCCAAACCCCAAACCCTAGCCCTAAACCCTAAACCCGAAACCCCTAACCCCCAAGCAAGTGGACAGCCAGGGTTCGGTGGATGTTCGACCAGTGGCGGTGCAACGACCTGCCCCCTAAGGCAGCCCCTGTGGGTTTAGGGTTTAGGGTTTAGGGTGTAGGGTTTAGGGTTTAGGGTTTAGGGTTTAGGGTTTAGGGTTTAGGGTTTAGGGTTTAGGGTTTAGGGTTTAGGGTTTAGGGTGCAGCGTTAGATGCGCACAATTGGGCTTTGTCAGCCTCGGGCTTTTTAAGGGCTTTGAGGGCCGCCTGTAGGGTGGCCACCTTGGGCGGCCTTTAGGGGTTCAGGGTCGCATGAAGGGGCTTTAGGGCCTTTTAAGGCTTTTAGG